GGGGAGACCACATCTCTTTGTGTCAATGAAAAAATATTCCTACAATGTTTAATATGTAAATTAAGTGGGTTCATTTGGAAAGATTACAATTTAAGGCTCCCTAGTGAAACTGCCTGGCTTGACTCATTTTTAGTATCTGCCTGGCCCCTTTAGGGTTTTGAGTTTGCAGCTCCTGTACCAGAGCACTTAAATTGATACATTGTGTCCCATGATTGCCCTAACGGGGGGTTATTTAGCTGTATAAGGAGATCTAATTTCATGTCCTTTTATTGAAAAAGGAAAAAAAAAAGGAAACATTCCAATAATGCTTCATTTAGAATATGTCACGTGTTATAAAACATTGAGGCTAAAAATGTTTGTTTCACTTTCTCAGCTTCTTTAATTTTGCTTTTAATTCCAGGACTGTAAGTGGAAAATGTACATGGAGATGGATGGGGACGATATTGCAGTCACCTACATCAAAGACGTGACGTTCAACACCAACCTGCCCGGCGCGGAGATTTTAAAGATGACAAAGGTAGGGCCCTATTTACGGCTGAAAAGCTCTTTTGAATTCACAGATATCAAACAAAGGCATTAAAATACCCCAGCAGTGTGCTTTTGTGCCGTCGGTGCTCGCATCAGCTCAGCCCCAAGCTGGCTGCAGAAAGGCACATTTTATTTAGCAGATTGAGATCATAATAGTTTTTTGTTAAAATTCCACTTATGCTGTGTGAACTAAAAAGTACTATAGAAGGTGTCATTTAAATTTTTTTATTTTTTTCCCTTGCACTTCTTTATGCTCATTCTGTCATTTACCAAAGGAAAGGAAATGCTAAAGATGAAAATATTTACCTCTGATTTCGGGTCATTTTAAACTTTGGAAAACTTGTAAGGAAGAAGTGGTCCTGGGTTGCGTTCGGTGTCTTGAAGGGCAGCCGTGAGATGTCGCGAGGCCGTGCTGACGTCTTTGCGGCTTCCTGGAGGTCACACCTACGAGTCCCTGGGGAGGCCGGAGAGCACGCGTCACCCTAGGGCCCACGGTGGACGCCTGCCCCGAAAACACTGAGGAAGGACTTACATAAATGCTTAGCTTGCCCTCGAAAAAAGATGTTTTTTTAATTCTGTCCCAGTCACACTGAAAATATACGTGAGGCTTCAATGGTAGAAGGGCAGCAACTGCAGGTCAATAACCACGTATCCATGGGACCGTCGCCGTGAACTCCGCATGGGCCACTAACTCTTGCACACTGTGGAGTGTGTGTTTGGCTCAGTGAGGAAAATGGAGTTGGTAGGACAGAAGAACCAGGGTGCAGCCACCTGGGGAGGTGAAAAGCGTCTTCAAAGCCACATCGATAGATTTGCAAATATGTTCCCTTTCCAGGCATAAAATTGCTACGCACCCAAGTCCTTTCAATGTGTAAGGGTGTTCGTCAAGCAGATTGATTCGATATTCATTGCTGGCGTTCCCTGAGTGATGGAGGTGTTTCGGTGGTGTTACTTATCTGTAAGGGTTGTGATCTGCTTGGAACTTTCTCCTTTTTTCTGTTGGGACTTACGGTTGTGACGCCTTGAAGGCTGGACCGGCAGTTCTTTCACCTCACCTGTGCCATCGCTGGTTGCAGCCGCTCTTCATTGCTCCAGTGTCATTTAGAAGCGGGATCCAAGCCATTGCTGACAGAAGGAAGGTGTTCAGGGCAGAAAGAGCAGGCTCGAGGTGTAAAACCAAGTGAATACAAGCGTTTCTGCCACGCCACCGATGCGTTCCTGCGGGACCACACCGTCTGAAAAGCACACGCCAACATTAACGGGGCTTTCAGGGCAAATAGGCGTGGGCAGACCACTCAAAATCCGTAGGACTTTTTAACAACAACAGAAGCAACAACAATTCCAATTAAAACAACAACAATGAAAAAACAAACAAACAAGCAAAAAACCCACTAACCCAGTTAAATCTCAGTGCGATACAGAGGAGAGCAGAATGGTTGTTGAGGACACTGAACCAGCCACTGTTTGCACTCAAGCAAGGCACTGCTGAGTCTTCTTCTATTGTTAAGGCTTTCTCTTCACTGTGAGAAAGCTTTCTGCGGATGCTTCAAAATATTAGCATCAATTAATGACCTAAGGATTGGATTGAGTGATATATCAGACAAGAGAAGATTGTGGCAGAACAGGACTACATGTTTGTAAATATATGAAAGGATGTCTTGTGAAAACCAAAACCCCAAACATTAGCATGTTGTGAGTAATCACATGTGAGCCAACGTGACTTCCATGATAATCTGACATTATGCCTCCATTTGCCAATTGTGGATGGTGCAGCTGGCCTTAAAGAAACACGCGGTAGCAGGGCCGGCTGTGCCATTGCACTTCACCATCTAACTTTTGTTTTCCAGCCCCCATTTGTAATGGAGAAGTGGATTGTAGGAATAATGGAAAATCAGACTGTAGAATGTACTGTCACGTATGAGGTAAGCTTGGGACGGGGTGGGGTGGCGGGGCTGGTGGCTTTATATTCAGTTCCTCAATAGGGATTTATTTGCTGCCTTGGGGTGCTTAAAATTTATTGGATGAGAAACTATTGAACCAACATGAATATGGGAAGATCGATATAATTACTGTAACACAGTGTTGGGAAAGAAAGAGAATAGGATACAATTGCCTAGATAGAGATTGAGGTAGTAATTCACTCATTCATCAGTTAATGACTGCCTCCTACGTGCCACATAATGTGTTAGGTACTGGGGATCCCAGTGACCAAAACAGGGTGCTTAGAGTTTAGGGGTGAGGGTAGATTAGTGATTCTTCAAAGGACAGACTCAGCTTTATACAACCACTTGGGGTCTATTATCAAAAACATATTCCATAGATTTTATATATGGAGAATTACAAAAACTTACACTTTAAAAATATGCTATTAAAATTAAAATTTATATATTTAGCAAATACCTACTGACAAGCACTATTCTGTGATTAAGATAGACTAAATCTATACTCTCTTGAGGCTTATATTTCAGTGGAGGTAGATAGATAATAATTAGGTAACAAATAAGTAATGTCAGGGAGTGATAAGTGCTAACCAGAAAACAGTGAGACTCAAGCAGCACAGAGGACAAGGACAAAGCTAGAGAGGTGGGTGGGGCTGGAACATGGAGCCTCATGGCCAAGGTGAGGGATTGGATTTACTGTAAGCATGGTGGGGAGCCAAATGCTTAAAATAATCTAATTATGTTTTGAAAATTAACAAGACTTCATGACTGGTGGGACATACAAGGTAGAGAAATCCTCCTGGCTGGGCGTGGCTCAGCAGTTGATCGTCGGCTTAGGATCCAGGAGATTGCGGCTCGATTCCTGGTCAGGGCACATGCCCGGGTTGCGGGCTCGATCCCCAGTCAGGAGGCATGCAGGAGGCAGCCAATCAATGATGACTTTTATCATTGATGTTTTTATCTTTCTCTCCCTGTCCTTTCCTCTCTCTGAAATTAATAAAGATATATATTTACAAAAAATTTAAAAAAGGTAGAGAAGTCCTGCGGGAATGGGGCAGAGGGGAACAGTTATAGCCCAGAGCCTTGGCACATATTAGTATGGCTCTACCACCAATAGGATGTGCATTTCATTCATTCACTTAATTATTCATTCAAGAAACATTCAGTAAGGATTTACCATGACCTAGGCACCATAAGAGGAGCTTACCCCTTTTTTTATCTCATTGATCTTGTGTAAGTATGGAGAAGTAGCATTATCTTCATTTGGCGGGTAGGGAGAGATGAAAGGTAGCCGAGGTTTGGAGTAGTCATTGTCGCTGATGGAGTCTCGCCCTGGTCCTCTGACTGTAGATGCCGTCTCTGCTGTTCCTCAGCTGTCCTCTCTGTTCCCTTCCCAGCAGCAGGATGGAGGCAGCCAGCCTCAGCCTGGACTCCATGCACTGCGACATTGCGACGGTCTTCTGGGCTGCCAGGGCCTGGCTTTTCAGCACTAGAATCCAAACCCTGGCCAGGTCACTTCCCCAGGTGACCCGGTGCTGGAAGCCAGTAGTATTACAGCAGTTACTGATCCTCACCAGCCAGGGCGCTCAGCATCTCAGGGGTGAGGCACCTGAGAAATAGCATTAATGGTCAAAGTGTGGCTTGCAGGATACAAAAATCTAAAAAAGGAGGTTGATTGATCTTGAGGAACTTGGAATCTAGACTATTCCGGAGCCTGCTGACCAGTCGCCACCACCCAGCAGAAGCCCTTTTTTCCTGACTAGCCAGTTGCAACAGCCAGACTTCCTCTCTGCCTCCCTTAGTGGGTCTGGGGACACACTGCACCAAACTCCTCTTCTCACTCTTTCCCCTTCCCCCTCTTTCTGACTCCATGATGATGAGCCACTGGTGTCTGTAACTGTCACTTCAGGGCTCCTTAAACATATTTTTGTGATCTTACTGAATCCTGAGGGGTTCTTTACCCTGATTTGTGACACCTGGTGAGTAGGGAGGTTTGGGGACAAGAAAGCAGTGTGTTTTGGCCTGGTGCCCTATTCTTTTTCAAATCCTCATCCTCAACTCTGCCCTGTCTCCCTCTGGCATCTGTTGCCCCGCCCCCTCCGTGGGGTGATTAGTCCCACCGAGCTAGCCGCCCACCCTTACCCAGTTTCCCTCTTCATCGGAGGCAGTCTTGGGCAAAATGGTGCTCAGAGTTTTATTTATGCAACAAAATATCAGTTTTCAAGTACTATAAACAGAAGAAATTGTTTTTTATTTCTTATTTTAAAAGAGGTAAGCTGAGATTTGCCAAATATAATCAATTATAGGAGAAGACAACCACATTTTTAATGACTATGATCCACTAAGGAACAAAGTGGTTAAAATTTGCCCTTTAATCAAATCACCATATTTAGGCAAACTGTACAAATATTTCACCTAATGCATTTATGGTACGTTCTAAGGAGTTAAATGGAAGTGAGATGATAACCTGATTTTCTTTCCTTCCTATTTTATAAACATGTGTATGTTTGCTTATGAGTTTCTCTATTTTTTTTTTACAGAGCGATGTTAGAGCTCCGAAAAGCACTAAGCATGTTCATTCGATTCAGTGGACTAGAACGAAACCTCCAGACGAAGTGAAAGCCGTCCAACTTGCCATTCAGACATTATTCTCCAGCTCAGAGGGCAACCCTAGAAGCAGGTCCGACTCAAGTAAGTTACATGTGTCCTAGACTAGATTCCATACCCTGAACTACCAAATTCTCGTACGAGGGACAGGTGCCACTCTGTGAATAGATAGAGCTGTCTAATATAATACTTCCTTCTTCTATTTTTTGAATTTTGGTTTTGGATAGTATTTATGGACTTATCGATATAAGCATATTAAAATAATTTCCATATTTGGATGACTGTGATAAAAGATGAAAATTAATTATTGACTATGTTATATTGATGAACAAAATATGTATGTCTTTACATATATATATTTAATTTTTGAAATTGTAGATAAAGATACGAATCTTCTGCTATGTCCAGCAGACATTCCTATGAAGCCACTGCTATCCCTGGGGCAACTTCCTGAGTCTTAGCTCCATGGATACATCAAAGCATAGGAACCACATG